TGGAAGCAGCTACCCTTAATGTCCCCTGGAGCCACTAGATGGCAGTATAACATAACTGCTGTAAAACATTTTTCCTCAGTCAACATTTATGATTCCTTCTAATAAAGTGGACTATTACATGGAGTTACATACAGTGAGTTTCAGTATGCATCTTTTTTGTTTGTGCTGCATTTTGTTTAAGTGCATGTATGTTTTTGAGTGGTGATGTGTGTTTTTTTTATCTGTTTGGTTTTTTGGGGTTTTTTTTTTGGAGGTATAAAAAAAGAGGTTTGTGTGGCAAACTCTGCTACCATCTCTGAAGTCTCTGCAGACTTGTAAGTTCCAGCCAAGAATTCCACAGATCCATTCCCTTCAAGAATTTGTATACTTTTAATCTCATTTAAACTGTTTAATGTACTTATCAGTCATTGTGATTTTGGCAGCTGGTGAAGGATGAAACTGTATTATGTGCAAAGCCAAATTAAAGATTAAACTGACAGCAAAGTGAGATAAGTCATGTCATGTTTCCTTACAAAAAGAAGTGATTGCATATGTTTAATGTACAATAACACTAAAATGGGACTGTTATCTATTGGGTACGTGCAGTGCTGTCTTGATATAAATGCTACAAATCTTTATTTTTCAGCAGATCGGAACTTTCCTGTACCAGTGAGATAGAATAAGATCTCTAATGCTAAAATATTCACACTGTGCACCTAACTGCTAAAATCAGCCTGGGATTTTTCCTCTGTTTCTTTTATCCCTGGTCAGTTTCAACAGACTCTGTGGGACAAAACCTCATTGCAACACAGTGTGTTGTAATAAACTGCAATAATGGTCTGATTCATCAGATTTTCATTTCTTTTTCGATATAAATCGTGCAGCTACCGCAAACCAAACCAAACCAAACCAAAACACTAGCAGAATATTTTTTTACTTTGTACCTGAAGTAAAGACTGTGAAATGACCACTTGGCAAAAGTCCTCTGCAACCTCTAACAGGGTTAATTCCAGAATAAAAAGAATGCAAATAAAGATAATCACTTTCTTTCAACAAGGACAGATTTGTAAATTGTACAATCAATTCCATCTCCATGAGTCTTCGAGTGGCATGGTACAATCCTCCGGGATGAACATGTGGTGACAGTATGTGTACACTGAGCATGCATCCAGCAATAGTGAAGAGGAAATACTCCATTTTAACAGGAAGAAACCTCCAGATCCAGACATACTTTGTAACACTGGTTACTGTCATCTGACCAAACACTATAGTCAACAAATGCACAGAGTTAGTTAGAATGATTTATTTAAAAAAAAAAAAATCTTGCAAAGTAAACTAATCAAAATGGGAGAAATTTAAGGGTCTGGGTGTGCTAAAAACTAGTTTATGGGAGAACACATGAAGAGTCAAAGGAGCATTCATTCAGATCTGTTACTTTCAGGCCATTGCAGCATACAGGAGCCCTACAGTCAGTCATCCATTATCGCTCAAGCTGTGGTTAGGCACCCAGAGACTAGTGTACCAACCCAGGTCTGTGCTGCTCCTCCTCTGTCCCACCACACCTGGACAAAGTGTCATCAAGTAGAGAAGAGGACAGAACATGCATGTCTGTGGCTTAGATAGATAAGAGGTCCCCTCACTGAACACAAACACCTGGTCCAACACCTGATTAACCGCACCCACACAAACCCTCCAACGATGAAGTGAAAAGGGGCAGACACAGCTCTCCTGGGTTACAACTTTCTATTTTTGAAAAGGTAATGGTAAACTAGTTCCATGGGAGGCTCTGTTTAGGAGCAAAAAAGTTAAGCGGACCAGCTCAAAGCCAGTTTTCATGTTAAAGTGATAAAAGAGCACATAGAGTTAGTCACAGTAAAAGCTGAACCTCTTAAAGAAAAACAGGAGTTAGCACTAAAAACAAGAGTTAGCGTTAGGTGGCCTCGTGGTTAGGGCATAGAGCTTGGAATCCTGAGGTTGTGCGTTTCAAACCCACTGCCACTCTTGGTCCCTTAACCCCACACTGCTCTCTGGGTGCTGTAAATGGCAGTCTCAAGGGGAGAAGTTAAATGCAGAGAATTAATTTTGTTGCGCTGTACTTGTGAGTCATGACAATAAAAAAGGGAGAAAAGGAAGGCCAACTTATATTTCTCATATATATCATATTTCTCTCCAGCATGGTGTCATAGCCAATCAGGAACAGACTATATGAAACTACTCTGACAAGAAAAAACAGAGAGAACATAACGTTTGGTGTTGAACCAAGAAGTATTGCCGCATTGGAGAACAGAAGCAGTATGATGACCTGTGGTCCCTATGTCCTCCAGCAGTC